TGGGTCAGAACTGACTCTATGGCACATAACTACCAATGCTTTTAAAGACCCAAATCCAGACTCGTGCAGCACTGGACTATGGTCAGAGAGAAGGCAGGTGAGGCAGAGGAAATGACTATGGGTTTGAGCCCATTGGACTTTGTCCAGCTGCCAGGCTGTAGCAACAGCAGTGGTGTGTAGCAGCTCCACATCAGACAGGGCTTCCTGTTTCCTCTCACTGCCATCACCCTGATGCAGCTTCCTGTGGCCTCTGCCAGCAGTTTTACATTGGCGGCAGTGGATTTGGGCTCCCATAAGTTTTAAAATGGTGCTTGCACATGTCCAGGTCACATAACATGCTATTTCATAGATCATATGGTGGATGTTAAGTGATGCATACTTGTATGTTAATTTGTTACTATTGCTTTAAGTTTCTTTATATAAATATAGAACCTTGAGTGAGTTACCTAACTTTAATTTGACTTCTTTATACTTAACTTTAACCACAACATGAATATCTTTATTTACAAAAGAAGGAGAAGGAAGTCAATAATTTTATATGTCTCATAAGTTTGAGGAATCAAATTTAATATATTCAAGTGATAAAGAATTTAGGAAATGATTATACAGAGTACTTACTTAATAAATAATAGCCATGAATATTATTGACATTTGTCACTTCTGAAAAATTATTCCTCATTGGAAGGGAAGTTTGTTTTATAAAAGTGGAGCAAACTCCTAATATTTAATGAGATAGTTTACACAAATAGGTATAAGAGTTATTTTTGACATTCAAACTTTTTTCCTCATTCCTATTTTTCCCGTTTCAGTAAATTCTAAGTTAAAGCTATGCCGTGATGATTGGCTGCAGAAAAAAGGAAAATGCTATAAATTTTACAGAGTCTTTGAATCGTGGATCAGTAGTCAAAAATTCTGTTCAGTAAAGAGAGCACATCTTTTGATGATTCAAGACAAGGCTGAACTGGTGAGATCTTACTTGTTATAAAAATTACTCCTTTCAAAATGGGGATAAATAGCTATATTTTATTATACAAGCACTGATAATAACCACCATTTATTGAACTCCTACCACATGCTAAGCACTATATTAGGCATTTTACAAATATTATATAATTTAGTTCTCACAATAAACTTAGGTAGATGTTTCTCCCACTTCCAGTTGAGGGAATCTGCAGAACTTGACAGGTTGCTTATCTTGCCTCTTTTATTCTATCAGAAAGCAGCAAAATTGGGCGCATCTTTCCACATTATCTTTCGGGAAGAATGACAGGCACTTTCTGAGGTGCCACCTAAAGCGTTACTAATTTCTCTCCATAGCTTTAGTAATTTGGTTAGGGAAGATGAGACATTTTAGTTTGCATGAAGTTTCACTATGTTGTTGTTGTTAAGTGCCATCAAGTCAGTTCCTACTCATAGAGACCCTGTATAGGGTTCCCAAGGAGCCAATGTTGAGTTTGAACCACCTACTTTATCATTCAAACTGATGTTGTGGTCCAGTGCTTTATCCCATAGCTCCACACCAGGTAGCATTTTTCTTCAGGGCTGTATGTTGATAAATGGAAATAAACCACAGATACTTGCTGCTCACTTGGGCAGGCTTACTGATTTTCAGTTCTTACTTCATATCCCCTTTGAATCCCTTTATCAGTTGCTCTTCACATCACTGGCCTGATTCATTAAACAGCAGCAGCCTTCATGTATGCAAGAGTCATCTACTTAGAAAGACCTTCCTATATTGAAGTTTCACCCTGAATACGCAGGAAAACTCTTTAGACTTATGCTCTTCTTGACTTGGGAGATAAGCATAAGATTTTTAAAAATTTGTACTAAAACCAGAAGAGGATGTTCTGATAAATTTAACTTAATTTCCTCTGGATCCCCTTTCACAGGATTTTATACAGCGTAATATACAAGATGGAATTTACTTTTGGATTGGATTGAACACTACAGACACATCAAAAACATGGACTTGGCTGGATGGCAACCCATTAAATCTACAATTGTGAGTGTTTGGCATTTGAATACCACTAAGGGCTGCTTGTTTCATTCTTTTGTCGCTATCAGCTGGAAGTGACTCAGCACCTAACAACAAGAAGGACTGCATGAAACTCCAGGCAGCCAGGTGGTTTCTTTAGACTGGAAACTTTCATCTTCAGTAATGTAGGAAGGAAAAGAAAATCAACTTAGAGAAACAGAAACTCCTAAGCGAATTGTTTTAATATTTGAGTTTTCATTTAATTTACCTATGTTGTTGTTGTTAAGTACCATGGAGTCAGTTCCGACTCATAGCGACCCTGCACAGGGTTTCCAAGGCTATAAATCTTTATGGGAACAGAACGCCTCATCTTTCTCCCACGGAACTGCTGGTAGTTTCGAACTGCTGGCCTTGAGGTTGGCAGCCCGACTTGTAACCATTATGCTACCAGAGCTCCTTTAATTTACCTATAATGCCAGAGCTATACATAACACAATATAATTAATGTAAAGTTCTTTACATCAAAATTCTTATGGAGGGTTCTTATAGGTTAGTGAAATAACCATTTTTTTTGCTTCGTAGGAGGACTTCATTGATTTAAATATTAAACAATACAACAAATTGTCAGTTTTTACTATTTAAAAATCCTGTCCAGGCACTATTTCAGGTCATGGATTATTGCATTTGTTCAAGGAACCACTTGGAGTATTGTCTTTGGTTACAGAAGACACCATTTTTTCATGCACATTAGTTGTTCCAGTATTACAAAAGGTGTGGAAGGAATATCCTTCATAAGGAGAGAGAACACACACAAAATGCATACAGTTGTATATTTGACAAAATAATGTAGGAGGGAATCCTGCACTTGCATGAAAATTATTGACATATAGTCTTTTTCTCTACAGATTTCAAGTCACGGGCCAGACTGAAGAGAATGCTTGTGCTCTCATTACAAAGAAGGGTGTATTTTCAGAAAAGTGTTCCACTCCAAGTTACTGGATTTGTCAGGAAGTGATTTCTTCATCTACATAGGATAAACTCTGAGTTGACTACTGGTATCCTTCCTATTAACAAAGTTCCGATTTTTATTCATAAAATCACTTTTTGTTTTTACAACAAACAGTGGTGATAGTGATCATGATAACATTCAGACTGGGGCCACTAATAAATCAGAGAACCAGCCTCAACTGAGATCTTAGTGTTTTCTAGTCACTCACAGAGCTTTGCTTTACCAAAGTAAAAAAAAAAATATTGCCACAAAATCATAAACATTTTTGTTAAACAAAAATATCAAACCTTTTTTTGTGAAGCTAACATTTCTTGACATATTACCCATTTAAGTCTAAACACTTCCATGCCTCTAACCCTTCTCCAAAGAATTCTGTGCTCTTAGATTTATACCATGTCAAAGCAGTGGTTTCAACATCTTTGAAGAACTAAAATCTTCTTCCTTTTCAATATTCTTTGAAATGTTCAATGCTCTTTCATAGTACAGACCCAATGAAATTTTCATAGTACAGACCTTGCTACCCTTAACGAATAAGAAGGAGCATTGTTGCTGTTGTTGTGAAGTGCTGTTGAGTTGGTTCTGACCCATAGTGATCCTGTATAGAGTTTCCATGAGCAGCTGGTGAGCTTGCACCGCCAACTTTCCAGTTCAAATGGCTTTGCAGTCTGGCACATTAACCCACAGTGCCACACCAGGACTCCAAGAAGGAGCATTAGTTTGATTGAAAAATAAATTCCTTGGTGCAATTTTTCTGAACTCTTTCTCACCAATGTAGTTTTCAATTTTCTTGAAGCTTCTTCCTAATAAGCCCTTGTGATCATCCCATGTCCTCTGAGAAAATCTATTAATATTACCCTTTTATAATCCAAAAAAACAGTCCCCAAACCTTCTAAGCTGACCGATCACTCTGCCTTGATAACTCTGCTTTGAGTTTAAGAGGTTCAACTGATCCCCCTCAGAAGCCACTATTTTGATTGACTCTTTTTTAAGGCACCCAAATGAGACTAAATGTATTACTGAGACAACTTGTCTGCACTGATCTACATGTTTGAACCCATTATGTCTGAAAGAAACCCATGTATGTATGATTTGAATCCTAGTATCCACACTTTTGTTTTACTAACTCTGGTGTTTCCGTAGTTACCTCCTGTGAAATAGTTACTATTTCAGGCAGAATCTATACCTCTTTCCCCAATACTTTATTCACTACATCTCTTCTTTACTATTAGCAGAGGACTGCTTCTACTTTAAGAAAACTGTAGATGTCACCAAAGGATAAATACCAGCATTTTCTATTACTGAGTATATACTTTTGAACCTGCATGGTACTTATTCTATTTTCCTTTCATCCTTTTCATAACAAAGGAGAAATCCCTATCCTTCCTAAATAAAATCTCTAAGTCAAAAATTTGGATTGCATACTTTTTTTCTTCAAGGATATTCCTCTTGATTAAATTAAATCTAACCTATCTCTTCCTACACTTCATTTTCTATCAGCAATTAAAAATGCTAGACTTGATCTCAGCTGAGACAGAAACACACTCACACCCTCCCAGTCCCCTCTCCATGTCATCTAATGGACCCTATCATCTTGGATTGTTGTTGTTGTTAAGTGCCACTCATCAAGTCAGTTCCAAATCATAGAGACCCTGTAGAGTATTTCCAAGGAGCAGCTGGTGAGTTTGAATTGCTGACCCTGTAGTTCAAATTGATCTTAAGGTCGAGTGCTTTTCCTATGGCACCACATCAGGATTAGTACTACACAAATAGACAGATAGGTAGGCAGCAGATGTTGTTAAGTGCTGTTGAGTTGATTCCGACCCATAGTGACCCTGTATAGCGTTTCCAAGGAGCAGCTGGTGAGCTTGAACCACCGACCTTGCAGTTCAAATGGCTTTGCAGTCTGGTGCATTAATCCACAGCACCACACCAGGTAGCAGATAGATTGGTAAAATAAAAAATCTCACTGCCATTGAGTAGATCCCAACTCACAGTGACCACTTATATAAGGTTTCTGAGACTATAAATATTTATGGAAACAGATGTTATTGCTGTTGTTAAGTGCAGTTGACTTGGTTCTGACTCTCGTGACCCTTTATAGGGTTTTGGAGGAGCAGCTGGTGGGTTTGAATTGCCAACTTTGTGGTTTGCTGTCCAATGCTGATCCTTCAGCGCCACACCAGGAGATACCTTAGCTTTCTCCCTTAGAGTGGCTAGCGAGTTTGAACCCACAGTGCCACGAGAGCTTCTCATGTTGGCCATAGTTGACACCTTCTAAACCTCAAATTTGATCACATTACTCACAATTTATGCCCACAGTGGTTAAATTGAAACCCTTTACCCTTTCTTACCAGACCCTTCATATTTCGGTTCCTCTTCATTTCTCCCTCACTTCCATGTTTGTATTTGCAGCATCATTAAACATTGTTAAGTTCCTCAAACATATCATACTTTCTCTTGCCTCTAATTGATATATAATCATATATTCTTTGCTTTATTTATCAAAGATTCTTGCTGCTCCTATTCATCTTTCTAACTCTTACTTATTTGTCCCGGTTACCAGTTAAATTCCAGTCTTAATTGCTAAACTAGATGGATTTGCAATATATTTTCATAGCTTCCTATATTCACTTGTTCTTAACATTTGGCTCAATATTTTTGCTTATTGTTTGATTGTTTGTATTTCTGAATATAGCATAAGCTCTAATCTATATATGGAATATAGCATCTGATGACTATTTGAGAAGAAATAAAATTTGTTGTGCTATTAACTTTCATATGTTTTATCATTTTCTCAAATTAGTTATATAAGGAGTCCTGGTATGGTGCTGTGGATTAATGCTATGGACTGCAAAGTTGTTTGAATCATAAGGTAGGCAGTTCAAGCTCACCAGTCCCTCCTGGGACACCCTATACAGGGTTGCTAGGTGTTGAAACTGACTCGACGGAATTTAACAACAAAGTTACATAAAGCTTCATCTAGTTTGGATAATCTTAATCTGCACATAGAAGAATAAACCACTGTGTCTCTGTGTGTGTTTAAAAAAGGCCCAAATTTCTCTTTTGTTTGTTATTCTTTTTAACTCAGGATCTTCACTGAGATTTGAAACAGAGATACTAAATTAATGTTTATTGATTAAATGCAAACTTACTAATGATAAACTTATTTGTAAGTCTTTTGATTCACTGAGCTTAAAGGTCATACATGAATTTTAAAAGTTTATTTCAGAACATATGTATGAGCATAAACTGTTTCTTTTAGGGAATTAAAAGCAAAACCTTAAACATACTTTAAAAAATTAAGCACAAAGAACATATAACTGTTTTAAAAAGTATATTGAGTGAAAAAAATAAGTATTTTTACATTAATATGAATACAGGAGACATGTGGAAAAACAATAGGGGAAGAAGCTACAATTGAAGGGAAAGGAGTGGAAAAATGATGGAAGATTAAGATTTATGAGGATTTCTTTTTTTCATGTTTTATTGTGAATTATATGATAGTTTACATGAGAGAACTTTAGTTCATTCCACCGTATATCATTTCATTGCCATGGTTCCAATCCCCTCCATGCATCATCAACCGACCAAAGCCCTATAAACCCGTTCCCTACACTCC